ACAGGGAAGTTCCTGTGTCCGCCGCCTCGGGGGGCACCTACACTTCATTTCCCAAGCTGCGATATCTGTGTTTGCATGTGCACCAATTGGGTTAATCAGAGAAGCAGGTTCAGAAAAACAGAATTCACCATTATCCACTGTTTATAGTGAACTATGGTATTAGTGAGGGTGGTTATAACACAAAAAACGAGGATGGTTAGCTAGGCAAACTATTAATAATATAAGATGTCAACCAAGCCTGATTCTATAATAAGGATAAGTGAACCATCCATCCATCTCAGAATCTGAATCAGAATTATCTACAAATATTTTAGGGTAGCCTGTTTTCAAGAATCCCAAAACAACCTGAATCTTCTCTCCCATTGTCTGTATGATAGGCAGTTATATTGTGCATCTTACTTGAATATTTGAGGGTTCTTTTTTCATTACAGGCCAAGTTAAGGCAGAACATGTGTTAAATGGGGTTCTCAACATTAAATTTAAATGGCTGTCAGACCCAGAATCTGGATCAGATCCAGGTGCAATTTGGTCTAGTGACAGACATTGCCACCCTACATACAGTATGTATATTGAATTTTAAATGACTTCTATAACCTTTGAGAGAGATATGAATTTTTTTTTTTTAATTTTGCCACATGTTAAAGATGGGGATTTTTGTGATTTTTTTTTTGTGTGAATCGAATCACTTCTAGGATTGGACCCCATCAATCTCTGTAATAAGTATGCTGATGGTCCTACCAGCCATTTGTCTGTAATACTGTTAACCAACAAACACACACAAGGAACCAAAAACATAACCTCCTTAGTGCAGGTAATAAAAGCTGGAAGGGGTGTAATGAAACTGCTGAAGAACATGTACAATTTCACTACAGGACACAACCTGTTGTTTTGGCGTTAAAGGGTTGTACTTATAGTATATTTGGAGGATTACTTACCTGTGTCTGGAGGTGGTCCTCTCCTTCTGAAGTGCAATATATTTTATTTAGAACATCTGTTCTTCTTATCTGCTCAAAGTATCAGCCTGGCACAAGAAAGCAGGTTTAGCAAACTCCCTGAACCCAAAAGTCTGAGCTGATTAACTGCAAAACGTTTTTGGCTCCAGATACTCCATCTGATTAGAGTTAGTTCAGTCAATCTTGAGTTTGTTTACTAAGTGAGTAATGAATGAAAAAAGCCATCATTAATGGAGCTCTGATAGTACAGTTCACCTTGGCAATAGACCTAAATAAAGAGCAGAGCCCTATTTTAATCCAGTGGAGCTTGAAATTACTATTATTGTGCGCAATGCACATAAATATTTAAAATGCAGCAGCAGTGAAAGAATATGAGTTGGGGGAAAAGAATCCAACACTATTATGTTTTTTAGTGAAGCTCATCCATCCATCATTTAGCAAACTTGATGACAAACTGCGGGGATGCTATTTTATCACATTCATTTTTAAACATATTTATTCAGCCGTCACCTGACAGTCACTGGACCAGTTGAAGTGGGCAATCCTCCCTAAACACCAGGTGGCAGTATCGAGCAACTTGCTGCTTGGCGCAACCGAAGGAGAAGACACCAAAACACACTCGGAAAAGCAACAAAAGATGCGATTTGTGCATCATTGGAAGCGTTATTCAAACACGGTGGCTTGCTTTCACAAAATAAAGAGCTTTATCAGTGGCGACTACCTGAAGTGTTTGGTTTTGCATGTGTGCGTTCGGTTTGTTTACCAGCCAATCTCTGTAAAGTTGGGCAAAGCCTCGGGGGAGCCATCCAGGACCGTCACTAACGGGGCCTTATCCAGCTTTAATGAGAAACTACATTCACACAGATAACCAAGTTATCAGTTTCTCCAAGTGCCAAATTAGCAGTATTTGGGAAAACCCAGACGGTCGTTTGAAAATACTTACCTGCTACTGTGCAAGTAGTCTCTACGGCATTGATGTGTGACACAGCTGACTTGGCAGTTTGTACCAAAGCCTGCTTTCAAGAAGCTCCTGTTGTCACGTGAACAATGACAAGGTTCGCTGAAATCATGTGACCAATTTCTTTTGAGCTTTGAATGTTCACGACACCTAAGAGACCTTCAAAATCTAAAAATGAACTTGCAGGGGGTCTCAAAAATGTGGCCAAGTATTATCTGTTTATCTACACAGTATTTATCTTCATGCATCTTAACAAATGTTTAACTGTCTTTAAAATAATAACAGTGTAGCCGAGCATTTACGTGGGCTCAACTAGACATGTGTATAAAATAATAAAACGACAAAGCTTCAGGTCTGAACTTCTCCGTCACTTTATTTTGCACTCTTCACTCCAAAACTAACACTCCCATCTCTCTCTTCCCAAGTATGGCAAGCCCCAAAGGCCAAAAGGACATAAGGTATACTACACACATAAACAGAGCACCAACACATTCACACCGGGGAGACATAACACCAAACAGTCTGTTACAACAGTAAAGTATTTTAAGTTTGATGAGGAAACTGAAAGTGAACACAGCACAATCTGCAGCACTCTGACTGACTTCACCTGCTGTGATTAACGCCTGTAATATGACTGATCAGGACATATGCAATGTGTTTTCATCACTGCTAGAGATCGATGTTATTTTGTATGCCTATGTGTAATTATAGTATGGATATTAGGTGTTAGATCTGCAATATAGCTAGGTATTATTATAAAAACACTAATGAACTAAGTTTCTTAAGTTAAATGTCTGTACAAGTCTGAGGTCACAGTCATTGCCCTATTTAGTTTGTGAAGCCTATGAAGTCATACGCACAAAACAACCCAGGGTGTTTGTGGTATTGTTAGCTGATAGCATGACAAAATTACAGTTGTCATCATGTTATGTAAAAACAAACAAACAAGCAGTCTATTTTATACAAGCTTTATTTACAATGTAGTCTCCAAGTTTTGCAGTGGAGGAAGCACATTTCCAAATGGTTTTGTCTCACTCTCAAATGGTCAGACAGTGTCTTTTCCACTGTCACATAAACTATGTACATAGTGTGTTTGTATACAAGCAATATAAAACTTGGCAAATGGGAGGTTATTTGCTACGTCAATAGGCAAAGACATTTTTCCAATGAGTAAAAAATGCAGCAGACACTGCGCTGTGAGAGATTCTGACCTGTTAACAGCCTTGTGTTGTTCCTACACTAATACACTTTTGACTGGCTTCACTGTGCAATTAATTAGCAGTCAAGTAATACTAGGAAACACTGGGTACTCAGTTTTAGCTTACACATGTTCAAAACACACCACACTGTGACTGAGTTTTGAAAAAGTATTGTGTATTGTTCTCAAATATTTTTTAATAAAGAACAACCTTGAGTTGTAGCTTGAGTAGTACATCATATCATTATTTCTTTTGAGGAAACTAAACAATAAGGTCTAAAAAGGGCCCAAACTAGCTGACTTTCAACATTAGTTTCTCTGGTATATTACTGTAATGTAATAATTTCTCCCCAGTATCTCATCAAAGTAAGAATATATACACAGACACAAATGCAACAAAATACAGTGGCTGTTTTGATGGGGAATAAAAGGGGTTAACACAGTTTGCTTCTTCTTCTGGAAGGTATTAGAAGTGTTTCCCTGACATCCCTTATATAAATTTAAACAAGTCAACCAGTGTCAGAGTAGATATACGTTATACAGAGATTTCTTATCAAACTACTGATTTGTGGGGACAGTAAAACAAGTTCTGCATAACATTTAGATCAAATTGTCAATGTTAATTGCAAATGGTTTACAAAACAGAGAACTAGACAAAAGAGGTCACCTCTCTGCAACAGAATTTATATCACTTACCTCTCAACACCAGTATATTTGATCCTCAAATATAAAAACCGACTTGCCATAGTTTAATAAAGAACCTTGACCAATCCTCTCTGCTCACATAACTAATGTGGTTATACACACTAGGCCCTGGTCTTTCCTATCACTTAAAACACTGGAAAATATGATCAGTACATCCACCATCAACACAGTATGTACAACTGTTAATGTGCTTTTTTGCTCATGAGTAAACATTCATTTTCAACCAAGACAGGTCTCTTAAAGCAGCAATTTGCTAAGAAACTCCTCTTCCTGAAAAGACTGGAGGTAAGTGCAGCCTTGCACAGTTTGAGCTGACACTGTAACCTTTGTCATTAGATGAAGACAAACATTACACTATTATAAGCCTTCTCCTCCTTCTATTGCATAATACAAGTATTTAATAGCACTCTGATGTACAGTATGAATGCTGATGTAACAGTATAAGTGGTGATATAATACTAATAATAATGTTTTTAAAACATGTAACACTGCTGCAAGCTGCAAAAGAATAAATAAGACACAGATAAAAATGCACAAACTCAATAAAAACCAAGGTTACACAATATAACAATTACAGTTTAAAATAGGTTAAGAACAAAGATGAAAACCCCTCATTAAGCCTACTTAACCTAAACACCACTTTTTGGATCATGGATGAGATTTAAGCTCATCTCAGACATTTGATCTCTTTTTAAATAACAATACATTTACAGACCAGAAAGCCCTTTTTTTTCCTAAAATATTTTAAACAAAGGCACTAAATTGGAGGATTAAATCATCTCTCTCTTTTAAATAAAAGTATGCATATATCCTCATTCCAGGCATTTATTTTCAGACTTTCCCATCCTTCTTGTCAACAAACTTTAAATAAGCTCTGGAAATAAAATTTAATTTAGACAAAAAAGCTACACAAAATGTAAAGTGCAACTCACAGCAACACCAAGCTAAATATCCCCGCTACTGATACTGTAATGTGTCTTATGTTACTGTCTTTATATTGCAGTTAACACTGCATGCTTAAGCAGTCACTTTTTCCTATTAGCAATCAATGCCAAGACATATCTGATGGATCTGGTGCAGTTGTGTCCTTTTCCACATCTTTTAACCTATTAGCACTTTGAATCCAACGACTAAAGGAATGTACTATACATTAGCCTGCATGAGCTAATGTTTCATATCCTTTTGTGAGTAGTTTGATTCAAAAGTCTAATAAACATGTGTTTATTTGGTGCTTAGAAAGAAAAAAACTATAATATAGCCAGTATCAGAGGCACCATATGATGTGTTAATATGCATTTTAACCGAGACACTGCACTGATAATAAATTGCACCTAAAGAAAAATCACACGTAGGTTTAATGAGGGATTTCATCCTGTATAAAACCCTATTTGTAACATTACTCATTGAAAAACAGTGTCATCCTATGGTCTTACTGCAAACTGTTCAAAACTCTACAGAGCAAGACAGTAATGCCCCACAAGCTCTCCTTTAGTCCAAAACTTGTTGTACTCACTAATACTTGAGGTAAAAGCACTCCTAAGATGTTGAGGAAAAGGTTGGGTAGAACCATTGCAGGAGATGCACAGTCTTAAGTTAAAAAGGGAGCCGACTCCTTTTTTTGTTGTGCAGGCTGTTCTACAGGCCACACCTCTCAAATATCTCTCTCTCACTGATGCCAACTCTCTCCCAAACGTGTAAATTAGAACATGTCACTGAGGTATCCTGAAACTCCCAGCCTATGTCAAGTTCCACACAAGCACCACAGAAAGACCTATTAAATCAGCTGGTTGATTGACAGCCCATACTGCAATGTTCTGCCCTTGTAACATACTGTATGTTGAGTAGGAACACACTTGATGCATGTGGAAGCACAAGCAGGCATGTCCATGAAATGTAATGGAGGAGAGGAGGTGGAAAGGATAACAAAGAGCAGGAGAACAAGAGGAAGATGGAGTTGGAATGGTGGAACATAGTTGAACTAGGGGAAAGAGGGTGAGGGTTTTCTTTGTCCAACACCATTCCTCCTTAGGCTCGACTGCAGATTACATTGCATGACACTGCAGGGGGTTGTTAGTGCTCATGCTGCTGCTGGGTGTGCTGGTTATTCGCAGGCTTGAGTCAATGCAAAGTCATGCAGACAGGAGGCAGGCAGGCAGTTCATGCATCGAGTGCCTCAGCCTAACCCAGCTACACCAAGCTTGGCCAGTTCATTGGTGTGCCAGTCATGCAGTGACATTGCTGTTGAAGGAGGAGAAAGAGAGATAACGGTCAGATGACAGGGCCTCTCGGCCTAAAATGAATGCTTATTAAGGTCCATCTCGTTAATAAGAGATCCTTCATGATGTGCTTTAAAAAAAATCAACGTAAACAGAATGGAACAAAAAACGGGTTAAAGAAAGGATGGGAAGAGCTGCAAAAAGCATACCTATTCAAGATTTCTACTTAAAGCGACATGGGCAATACTGTGTAGTGCCTATCAAAACTCCTTTTAACACACTGAAAAACCGTTTTACAACAACAGAGATACATTGTTCCTAAAAATGATAGTTTGCGTCAATGAGCCACACTGACTGAACACCATCTTAATTGTATCTTTTTGGTATTAAGAGCAATCAACAATCTAAATCTCCTTTCAAACAAACTGAGGCTCTCATAACAACTAGATTTTGCTTCAACACAATTCTTTGTGTTGTGTGAGAAGGGAAGACTGCGGTGGTGCAAGGACAAAACCGACCAAATACAGTAGCACATACAGTACAGTACATTTAAATTTAACACTATGTCCACACAGGGTGTTGTCTGGAACGACCAGGTAACCGCTCATAGAGCCAGTGGGTCCTTAAGAAGGATAATGAAAACCAGTCTACACTATTAGGTAGTACATTGATCTCCACAATCTAACTGTGGATTGCACAACTTCTTTTTCCTTGGGAGAAAATTATCATTTACAATTATTGCTGCACTGTTACCATTCAATAGTTCAGTTTTTTGTTTTTTCTTTTTTAAACCAACCCATGTACTCCTATTAGAGCTGATTCTGATCATTCAGCAAGCAAATGGAACATTTACATGTGATGCCTATACATATTCCTACACCTCGGTGTATTTGTTGCTCAATAACAACGGCATAGCAGAGAAGCAACTTTCAGAAAAACTCCATTTGAATAAAACATTTAAAAGTTGACATATGTAACCGAAAACTATTGTTAACCTCTTTAAAGCTGCATCATAAAGGTTAAAACAGATAAGATGAATGTTAAATGTCACCACAGACAGAGATGTGCATAAATGCTGCATAAACAGGTAGTGCGGTTTCTTTAAACAAAAATGACAGTAACTCGTCGGGGAGATGCTAATCTTCTCTGACGTGGGGTCCAGATTACCTGCGGAGCAAAAGTTTGCCCTAGAGTACAGGTTCAGGAAGGTCAGTGGTTGAGAGGGAGGAAGAGAGGGTGTTTGAAGTGATTAGTCAGACCCTAACAAATATGCCGGGGATATATAGACTGTGGCATCACACATGTCAGGGAAAAATGTGTTTAGTCAGGGGAAAATAAAAACGTGGTGCAAGATTTGAGAAACCTTGTCTGGCATCTCTACCTCATGGATCTGATCAAGAAGAAAAAAAAGATAATCAATAGGCAGAATGCAGAAAGTCTCCATTAGAAATGAATGAAAATATTGTGCCTCAAAAAAGGCCCAGGTACTGTACTGTAAGTTCAGTGGATTTGTAAGGTAGTTTGTCACAGCATCTTTCTGCTCTGCTGCCATCTACCTTGCGGTAGCTTGCTGGGCGTGGCCTGGATAGGGGCGGCGTGTGCTGGTGGCCTGTCTCTGCCGGGCCAGGAAGGACTGACCCGAACCAGTGCTGGCAAGTCGGTCTTCAGCCGCCTTCTTCTGCAGAGACATACCCTGGGAAAATATACAGAGGGTGTCTCATTAATGGTTGCTATCAGAATAACAAGACACTAAGTTAGACGGAGAATCATTCACTAGAGAAACAGCTGCCACCGGTTCACTAATCTTGATGAATGAGAAAGCAAATTGGGTCAAACGCAATACTGGTGCAGATTTACATTAACATTACCACCAGCTATTAATCAAATATGTGACAGAGCAAACATGGCCTTTAAAGCTTATAGCAAAGTCTGTGCCTCCCTCTAGTGGTTAAAATGGGAATGACGAGCTCAATAATCCAAAGCAGTATGGGGACCACTCTACCAAGGAGTATTACAAAAAGATATGTGCACTGTGTTCAGTCTGTCAAAGGAAAACCCGGTCATAAGTATTTTCTGGACAATTATTTTAAAATAATCCTTTTTTATCGTTTAATATTTTTGACAGGAGATTTCTAATATATGTGGGGTTAACTACATATGACTGATATTACTGACATTTGTGTATTATGACTTTATTATTCCTCTCAAATCCCAGCTGTACATTAGCATCTGCTACAATAAAAAAAAGGACACTAGTAAAAATATGTCCATCTTACCATATTGTACCAGGCTGATACAATCAGTTTCTCCTCATAATCTCTCTGGCTCTTTGTCTTGTCCATCTCTTTCTGTTTCAAGAAAACATAAAGCCATAAAAAATTAAGCAATACAAGCATCTCCTAAGCTGTATTTTGTCCACATATGTTGACTGTGTTTTTATACACACATTAACATGCTTTCCCTTTTCCATTCAGTGACCATAGTCCCAATGATCTATAAACTGGTGAGTCTGCTCTATTTACCAAACCACTTCTGATGCTCAACTGAAAGACTGATTACCTCCAACGAGTGTAACATCCTCTCCTTCTCCTGCAGCTGGTTCTTCAGGGCCTGGACCTCTGGACCTGAACCCTGGTTCTGTTTGGGGTCCAGGGTCCGGATCACCTGTTTCACACAGTTTTCTTGAGTAACTAATCTACACTTCTGGCAAGAATCAAAAACAGACTGCAAAACATAGTTAATCTTGTGGTTCCTTTAGTGATAAAAATACACTCACGCTCTTGGCTTTTTCTAGGTATTTCTTATATCTCTCCTCCATCTGTTTCATTTCTTCATCTTTCTTTTTCAAGGCCTCTTCCAGCTCCTCCACTCTTTGGGCTAAGAGGGAACATCATATAAGTTTAATTTAGTTCAGTCACCCTTTGCTTTATTCTTTTTAAATACAGCAATGCATTTATATGTCTCACTGTCAAAATGTGCAGCAGCATGACATTAATTCAGGGTGGAGGTCGATGACCTACAAGTACACGTTCAAATTGAACAGGGCTCCAAACTCACAGTTGGCACTGTATTTAGGCTCCATTTCATCGATTAAGGCGTTTTTCTTCAGTAATTCATTGTTCAACTCTCGTAGTTTCTCCCTGAGTAAGAAAACAAAGTTTATGTCAAAATGGCTTTAGGCCTAGATTTTGCTCACATTTCATGTTAAAACAAATTTTCTTCAAATTAAATTTTCCATAATCTTGAATATAGCTCTGGGACAATCACTTACATGTGCTCCTCATATTTCTTCTTCAGAACAGAAGACTGAGAAAAGACAAATGAAAAGACAAATGAAGTTCTCGTTTTACACATGCCCCACATATTCAAAAAAAGGCAAACATTCAGAATAGCCACTTTATTAGATGTATGGAGGAACTGCAGCACAACTCAGTTACTGAGGCCCATTTTTAATAACCTGTAGTCATATTTGAGTGTCATGCTAGCTCCTGAAAGTGTTCTGTTCCACTCCACGATAAATTCTGTAATTATTTAGCAGACTGAGAACAATGAGTAGTAACAGGCATCTTGGGCAATATAATCAGCTCCCCCACAACAAAACATGTAAATAGATTTGACAGGTTCTGCATAAGACCTGGGTACTGTATGCTGAATAAGACAGCATTTCAGGATTTAAAACAACCCTGCACATTTTCTTTAGCATCCAATAGAGGAAAGAGTAAATTATATTTAAAAATGGTATTATACTATAACAAAGACCTGGAATGACTTTCAAGGAGGCCATCAGTAAAGAAGTACTGTAGACACCAGAACAGAACTGTAGGGGTGATTTTTCATTTTTATGTTTTTTGATCCCGTTTCCCAAAGCAGTACATGTGGTATTTAAGGTGGTGTGCAGTCAAATCGTGTGAAAGCATAAATCTGCAGAGTATGGGAAGAAGAAGATTGCATTCTCCGATTGCTACTAAACTAGAAAGCATCAGCATCAAGGAACAAGGAGATGGATTCTTTTATGGAGGAAATACCAACATGTAGTGTATGTCAACTGATTAAAGATGCCTCTCTACTTCTTACAAGTGTCTTAAACACACAGGACATAACCATCCCAAGAGAACAAATATATTTCTAATGCAACAAGATAGAAATAAACAGAAATAAAAGTGTGCATATGGTTAATGTTCTGAAGAGTTAGTAACAAAAAGAACTTTTACTGTTACCCACTGAGAAACAGCATACACACACAAATGTGTTAGCTTATTTCGCTTTTTCACTTTCGCAAGTTACCTTTTTTTGATGAAATATCCAAACCTTAAGGCTTCAGAAGGAGTAACTTTATTCTTTATCTACCAAGTGTGGTATGATGAGACTGCCTTTTTGTGGTTGTTGCCAACATTTCAACTGGTATCAGAGTTATACTCACAATAAAAGAAAAAAAACATTTCATTACTTACATCATCTGCTTTGGAGCCTTGTTCTTGAAGAGTCTTCTGTAGCTCCTCAACCTGACTCTGCTCTTCCATCAGTCGCTGATTGATTAACCTAGATTTAAAAAAAATAAAAAAGGCCAGTTTGACAATATAGTGTTAACATAGCAATGAGCAAACTGCAAGCTATATAGTGGGGTATAAAACATCAGATATACATGCTTCAAAGAGGCATGTGGGGTAATACAGATGGGTGACAAACTAAAATGAAAGGACACAAGGGGTGAATGATTTAATGAGTATAAAAATGACATATTACATACTACGGTCTTCACAGTCACCTGATCTTCAACCCATCTTTTGAAAGAATCGCTCCAGAAGTTCAGACACTTGCAGAGTCAGTGCCAAGGTTCACTGAAGCTGCTCTGGTGGCAGCTGATGGCCCAACATCTTACATAAACCCCTTTCAGACGTGCACCCCTAGCCAGGATTCGCCTGCCGTTTCACATCTAGGCATCATGTCTGAACAAAGTGCTTTTGTGCACTGCAACTAAGTCTGAACACCAAAAAAAACTTGCAGAGTCAGTGCCAAGGTTCACTGAAGCTGCTCTGGTGGCAGCTGATGGCCCAACATCTTACATAAACCCCTTTCAGACGTGCACCCCTAGCCAGGATTCGCCTGCCGTTTCACATCTCTGAATATCTTCTGAAAGAATCGCTCCAGAAGTTCAGACACTTGCAGAGTCAGTGCCAAGGTTCACTGAAGCTGCTCTGGTGGCAGCTGATGGCCCAACATCTTACATAAACCCCTTTCAGACGTGCACCCCTAGCCAGGATTCGCCTGCCGTTTCACATCTAGGCATCATGTCTGAACAAAGTGCTTTTGTGCACTGCAACTAAGTCTGAACACCAAAAAAAAGGCTACTGCTACATTTAGCCTGCAAATTCATGACTACCATGTCTGAAAGGGACATAAGACCCTTTGTTGGTTTTTCCTTTCATTTGTCACCTGTCACATTCAAACGCATTCTGCCCACAGTAAAATGTGCCTCTCAAAACTTTGCTGCAAGTGCTGCATATTTGTGTGCCCTTTAATGACCTGTTCTCTGTTTCCAGTTCATTTTTTCTTCTGTTGGCATCCTCTAGTAGGCTCTGCAACAGTGCGATCTTCTCATTATCTGACCCCTCCTGAGCCAGCTTCAACATCTTGTTCTCATGCTGAAGACGAATCAAATGTTCTCTGTAAAAACACAGGGTATTAAAAGTATTGATTTCAAATAATATTGATTGTTCTCTACTTGTACTCAGCAATCCTTAGGAACAGATAAATCAATATCTCATTCTAAAATTTATAATGATCACACAATTATGAAGATAAATTTGAAACAGCCACACGGGAGCCACTGGTGTTGCGAAGCTATGCTTTGCACTGGTTCTAGAAGACAAAACTGTCTTCACACAACTTTATTTCAGTTGTGCTGTGCAGTGTTATTACATTATTGTAAACACCGTTTCAGTTCATGTTTCTTCTCAGCAGGTTGTCTTTACAACAGCGATGTGAATCCAGCAAGAGCTGTCAAAGTCAAGAAGTTTATATTTCAAGATGTAGGAGGTTAAATTCACACTGAGCAGGAACTGTTCCCTGCTCTACTTAAGCTAAATTACTGTAAAAACAGATTGTGCACTCACTTTCACATGCCCATTTACTTAGCTTCTCTATCATCCTAAAATAATATTAAAAAAAAGACAAACTAAAACAGAGCAGTGTGCAAAAAGCATTAAACCAGGAGGAATGATATTTTTGTATTGCAGTAGGCTCTAAAATGGCAGCTGGAAAGAGCTTTGTGTCTGGAAGTGAATGAGTCAGTTTTGGGTAAGAGATCTGTCTTGAGGATGCTTTTATTCATTTTTTAAAGCAGCTTGGCTATTTGGTATACTCTCCCCTTCGATCAAAATAGTGTTGAGTGTAGTCTGTCACATGACTCCTGTTTTTTTAGGGTGTGGCTGCTGACTCCTTTCCTACTAAAGAGCTGGTTAAATGCTTCCAGACACGCTCACAGCTGATGACTAGTAAAGGTTAGACCACAGAAGGTAAAGGCAAACCTGAGAAGAGGCTCCAGGGTAACTTACTGTGTAAATATATTATATCAATATGACTGAAGAGGAACTCTGATTGCCCATCACACTTGAAGCGTTGCTATTACATCTTACTTTGGCCTTTTTCATAATCTGCTTTTAGAAGATTATTTTTCATGGTTCACAAGTGCTGAAAAAAGTCTAGGCACTTTATACAACCAGCAGCAAACTCTGCCCTCATGGTGAGAGGCAGTGAGACTGATGTAACACACAACTATTGCATAACTCACCACAAAGACAGCTCTTTTTAGGCCAAAGTTGTCTACCTTAAAATGGCACAGAGAGCACGAGAAACAGGCTGGAAGGTATCAGGCTATAGCCATAATTTTTTACTTTTTACGTACTTTGCTCTCTCTGTTAGGCATGATATTTACATACATTTACCTAACTAACCTACTGAATATAAATTCAATAGATGGTGTAATATTCGTACTCCATGCACAGCTCTACATCACTCCCCTCTCCCTTTTTAATCAGGAAAGTGAACCCATATGTTGGGTTCAAAAAATCATACCGAATCTCTGGGGTGGTGATCTCAGCAGCCAGCGAGTCAGACCCATCATTGCTGACCAACGGAAAGAGACCTGGGAAAAGAGACACTACCGTTATTATACGGTAAACCCAACTTATAAGGGCTGACAAGTAGACCTTTTTGTACCTGATGAAAGCCGTCCCTCTTGAGCTTGGACACAATGTAGTTCTTCAATGGTCTCCTTCAGAGAGTCTCTCTCCGTTCGCATACGCTACAGAGGGAGAACAAGAAAAAGTGTGTGAAGCAGTGAAACAGAAACAAAAGAGAAACAGTGCAGGATGTAAAACAGAAGCTCTCAATCTGTACAGTCAGCTACCAATCTAGCAATTTTCTGAAACGTTAACATCTGAAAGTTACGTAAAGCCTTTAGTATTTCCTCGTCCTTGTTAAAGAAAATGCCTGTTTATCTTTTTTGCTAAGTAAAACGAGCATTGCTGGGCATTCTTCTATAGTTCATCAGTCCTTACATTAATCAAATGACCTGTACATACATCTTTTTCTTTTTGTAGAGAGTCCACTTTCTCTTTGAGGCGTTTGTACTCAAACTCCATCTTGTCAGCCTTTTTAGACTCTTCTGAGAGTCTGTTTTGCAGTTCAACCACCTGTGCAGAGAGGCAACAGTTCAAGAAAAGGCATATATTGTAAATGAGTATCAAATTAATTTGGGATAAAGAATTATTTTTGTGTGTAAGTCACCCTGGCTGCTCATTACCTGTCTTTTGTACAACTCCAGCTGGCCCTTGGTAGCATTTGCCTTTCGTAGCTCTTCCTCCAAACTGACATTGGTCTGCATTAATACTGTGTTCTTCTCCTCCATAAGTTTATTCTGAAAAGCACCAACAAAAATGTAAGCTTCACTTGCATGGTATAATTTGTGTCTCAGCTGGACATAAACATTTTAACAGTAGTTTATAGACTAACACAGGTGTGTGAAAAAAAAAAAAACAATTGAAAAGAGATGCTTGGGACACACCAATGAACACTGTATAATGTGAGAAAGATTTAGTAGAACTCATCACAATCATCACATAATGAAATAAATGACATTTTATTCCATTGACTGTGTACCTGTCTCCTGAGAAGTCCCAAGTCCTCCAGTTTCTTCTTGTAGTGTTCCACTGTGCCCTCCAGCTTTGGCACTTTGTCTGATGAGTGTCTGGAAGGAAAGCAACAGGCAGCGTTATTTGTGATGTTACATTTAAAAAGGAAATGGGGGTGAAAACTTTATCCAGTCTCCATCTGTGTAACAACACAACTGTATCCATAGAAATCTTAAAAAAACAAAACAAAACAGGGTAACATTTCAACAATGCATTATATCTTGTGTCAACTTGTTTTTCTGACCCTTTTTTAGTCCCATCAAGTGTTTGGTGCAAGAATTATACATTTTCATATAATTGATATGTTTAATTATATCCCAGCTTACCTGAGGACGTCGATCTCATCTTTGAGAGACTGGGCTTCATCAGCCAGTGAAACAAGCTCTTCATTCTGTGACTTTACATCCAAGAGTTCTTTTTCAAGCTCCTCACAACGGATCCGGTAGTCGTCTTTTGCTGCCTCCAACCTAGAAAGAATTAGCAACAATCATCATCAAACTAACAATTTTTGAGATCAGTTAAATTCAGCCCTCAATTTTTACATCTCTCTCCTTGCAAGTCCACACCTGAACGTTTCCTCCTGCAGTTGCTCCAGCTGTGCCTGCAGCTGGAGGTGCCGTCGTCCAGCAGGGCTGTTTATGTCTTCTATGGAGTCAGACTGGTTAAGTCTCTCCATGAGAACCTGGTTTTCTGCTAGCAAACTGCTTTTCTCCTCCTGCAGGGCTGCCACCTGTGGAAGGGGAGGCGACAAAGAAGAAGGAAGAGAATGGAAATACAGGGAGGAAGCCGAAGCAGAAAGAAGCAGAAAGGATGGAAAAATGCTTCAGTAGTGTGGAACATGCAAGTAGGTAGGGAGAGGAAAAAAGCGATGGGCAAAACGGGACAGAATGGAGGACAGAAAGAGTCAAAGGGAGTGTGACAGGTGTAGAGAGGCACAGATGAAAAGAACATTAAGAAGACATACAAGAGAAGCAGAGAAAGAAAACAGGTTAGCAAGAAATGGCAATGAATCTGTCTAATTATATCTCTAAAGCTACTGAAACGTACATGTAACATTTACGTTCTTTACAGCATTCAGTCCATTAAGTTGTTCACATTCGCTGCAGCATTGATTTCAAAGCAAACACACACCGAACACACTTCAACAATGCAAACCAACAGGTGTCGAGGGCCACATACGGTTTGATTTTGTCTTCTCGCTGCGATAGACAGAATCAAACTCCACACAAAGCAAAGCAGAAGCTGGTTGTTTTTTTATATGGCACATTAGTGACAGATTCCTAACTCTGCACCTTAACAAATGTAAAAGCTGAAGTTTATATTTGTGTGAGAGAAAATACAAATATTCTTGTGACTAAATGAACTGTATGAAAATTACATGCCATTTAAAGCCATTAGCACATAACCATCATTTAACATCCTTAAATGTGCAAGAATGTGCCAGGATCTAGTCAATAACACTTCAAAATAGTCAAGTACCAATGCCAGTGGGCTTGTCTGACTCCTTTCTATGAGCCCAGACTGGTACAAGTGAACCAGCAGTGTGGCAGTTCTTTGGGTTAAATCCAGGCCTGATTCACTCTATAAACTTGTGTTTCTCTACACCTGTAGAATCTGTTTTACATGTATTCACAAACAAGTAAAATGTGACTAGATTGTATCTGTTGTTTTTTTTATTATTTAACACTTCCATGTGTACAGTGTATGCAATATAAATGTCTGTAAGACTTATGTGGAAGCTTTCTGGGAGAACCTGCACCAGAGTGAAAATTCTCGCACTGCACCAAGCCTACATTACATGAAAGACGTGATCCGGGCAGCCTAAAGGGCAGAACTGGACTGGATTTATCTAATTTTCAAAGCCAGAAACGGGATTCCTGTAACCGTACTCCACTCCTACAGGTACTGAAGTGCAGTACATGCAGTGGTGCTGTTGGCTGCTTTTTTTCCCATAAAAATGTTCTTGATGTGCACTCAACCTTTTTTTCTTAAAAAAAAAAAAATGCTGTAAAGTGATAACATATGAACAAGATTCAATGTGTGTAAATATTTGACACATATTCAGCAGTTGTGCTGTGAAAGGACTCCTTCCTGGGTACAAAAGCTTTTCCCCTTACTGTGTACTGTTGCTGCCGGAAAGCATGAAACACAACAAAGTAAGGCAGGAGGCTATTAGTGAAGGGGCGACATCTGACACACCCACACAAAACTGCTGTTGTGGATGGTGTGCCCATATAGACCACGTGTATACTTGTGCACAAACATGTACACACGCATGCACACATAGTTAGGAGACAGAGAATCGGGATTCTAAAAGGAAGGCTGGTGCGAGCAGACTGGAAAAAAAAAAATCCAGGACTATTAGACACACCACACAACAATGATGGGGGACAAAAAAAAAGTTTGGATTTACCCTCTCTTCTAGCTCATTTAAGTCTAACCTCAGTCTATCACGCTCCTCTTGGGCATGGAGGGCCTTTAAAGCAAGGCATACAGTAATAGTCAGGAAATAAGAGGAGTGATTTAACACAACATGAGAGCAGGTAACCCTTTAAACTTCAGCTCCATTTTTCTGCAGTGTAAAATAAAAATGTCCCTTAATGACACACTTCCATGAAGAAAATCTGATATTCTCTTTTTATAACAATCTGACAAGAATGTGAGTATAATAAAGGTCCATCAACAGAATCAGAAGTTGTGATTCCATACAATTACACTGTAACATCCAAGGGAGCTGCTTTTAAAGTGTAATGTACTCTGATAGACTGAGTTACACAATATGTCAGAGAAAGTAAACTGATGTGACAATACTACACATTTATACCTTGTTTTTTAGGATACTCTCTATACATTCAACCAAATTAACTACATTACTGCAAACCATACAATCACTAATACAACTACTGAATTCCATCTTGAGTGTTCCAATTCATTTTGGTTCCAAATTGCATTGGCCTGTGGACAGTTAACACTGCTCAAGGCTAAAGACACTCAACAGTTCAAATAATACTCCCGACTGTACAAACAGGCTATATTTAATGGCATATTCCTAACAATACTGATATTTGATTAATATTTGTTATCACTATGATGGAACTATCAGGACTTGAATATCACTGCTAATAATGTCACCAACCTGCATGTCAAGCTCACGACACCTTTGGGCAATCTCTTCCTTGGTAGCCAAAGCATCATTCAGCTCCTCAACTGTCTTCTTCAGCTGAGAAGAGAAATCAACAAATCAAAACCCTGCAGATTTAATTTCAGTTTCACTTAAATGAGATGACAGAAACACAAACTTACTGGTCAGTGGCCAATAAGGAGGAGGGTGAGACACGGGGTGAGGGGGGAGCTGGGTCATGTTTTATACTGAGTGCTCTGTGTGTAAATGTATTGGTGTTGAAGTTTGTGATACTCTCAGTGGAAAATCAGCAACAGTGCAGTGTGTCTGCATGTGAGTGTGATGGGGTTGGCATGTGAATGTTCAAGTCTATTTAACAAATACAGGTTGCATTTAAAGTTGAGGTGTTTCTCAAATTTGAGACCCTAACAATGCCAATGTCAGAAAAAGTAACCACATTATAAGGCACCACAGGGAGCTTCAATGACGTCTCCATACCTGTCTGTCTAGATCCATATATGAGTCACCTCCTCCACTCACTTGAGTCTCTTTACTCATCAGCTATGGAAACACACAAAAACAGGTTAATGGTAGGAAAAGTTAAGCGTACACAGTACAACACTTGTTCTCTGAACTAGTTGCATCTTGCTTCTATGATGACGACAATCAGCAAGCGGGACTGTTTTGTGAATATGGCCCGCAGCCACAGGATTACAATCTGATCCCGTCTAAATGGCACGATAGACTACCTCCTGGATGGCTGTCATGACAACATGCTGCACTGACTCCTCCATCATCATTATGGTCTGGATGTATTCTAGAGATCACAGAGAGGAAAATTCTGGGTTAGATTTGAGCTTCTGATTGAGTTGTTAATTGAAGAAAATATCAAAGAACATAGTTTAACAATATCTATTTCCACATCACACACACAGAGAACGCAATGTGCACCTTGTTTCTGTTCACAGTTAACAGCACAGCCCAGTATGAGCTGCAGCATCCTCCCAAGTTCTGCTGCGTCGGAGTGTTCCCCAATAAGGTTAACATCTGGTAGTGTGAAGTCATTAATGTGCTGGCCTAGGCTCTAGACAGGGGAAAAGATGGTCACAATTTTTTAAATAATCTTGACATTTCATTATATAAAAACGAGATTATGGCGGCCTATATTATGCTACAGGGATTAAGAGTAAAATATGAAGTTCTCCGTGCTGGCTACACAACTGCTTAGGTTGTCTGAGTGCTGGGTATTGATAGTCTATATATTAAAATCATTACAACCGGTTCTTCTTACCTCCTGGTAATAGTCCAGGATACCTTTAAGAATTTTCTTTAGATTGCTGACCTGAAACAAGAAAGAATAAATATATTAGAAAAATAAATGCAGAAAAGGTACACTGAATACTAATGTATGCACAACCAATATCAAATAATTTAAATTAGAAACACACGGTCTGAACATAAAATTAATAATTTGGATAACGAGATTATTCATTCACACTTGCTTAGGTCTAAATCATATGGTTAATAAGAGAAAAGAAACTGTCACCAGAAACCCTAAAACACACATGTCCCTCCTATAAAAACAAGAAATAACTGGTCTTTACCTTTAACCTCCAGTTGTCCCCAACTTCTGGCTTGATTCTACTAATCCAAGCATCGTTGAAATACACTATATCTCTAGAAAACCCAGACAGACATAAGAAAAACGAATACAGAAAACAGGAATAAATAATAAAACAAATGAATAATACATTTTAAAACTAATAATAATAAAAGCTGACAAGTAGGGACACTGTCTCAATCTCCAGTAATGGAGTGACAATCATACTAAATGTTTAAAAATATTTACAAATGAGTAAGAATTATGTTTTAGTATATTCTGGTCATATTGGTATATTAAGTTCGTAATGGAATAGCAAACCATGCCACTAAGAAAGTAAAATAACAGAAAGAAAAGTATCCTATAAAAAAATGCAACCGATATCAAATATTCCATTTTCTAATACAACAACAAACTTACATTTTCTGTAGAGCTTGGGCCATGACAACCCCACTCGTCAAGTCTTCTACTGTTTTGCATGGAGCCTCCACTCCAAATGTCTGGATCTAAACACGGACAGATACACACGCCATGAGTGCTGGGTGCAGAATAAATCAAGACAATATGGCCGAGTTACCAGTTTACCAGTGGAAATACTGTATCACGCACTCAAAACAAAAAACAGACATTTTATATGAAAAGGTATGACAGCTGTAGACAGCAGTGTCATGTCCAATCCCACCTTCTCCCAGCATTAGGGTAAATAACACCATAGCAATTAACCAAGTTACAGAATTTTGCTTTGCATTCTTGCTTTTCCATCAATATTTTATACTTAGTTTTTGTAAATGTCAACATCTTTAATCGCCATCCTAAATGTGAGGCGTTGGCATTTTGATGGGACATTTCTACAGTAGCTCTCTGCAGTTATAAGTATGAAGCTCCTGCAAACCTCCTCTCAGCTTTGCTTGTCATCACTGCTCAGTGTCTCTCATGTCATCTCTGCCACTATTTTCAGATCTTTTTATTTTCCTTTCCAGGTGCCTCACTTGGCATGTCTTTGTTCGCTTTCTACCTCTCTTTTCCTTCTCTACTTTCTTCTTCCATGCTGAAAGGCTGTTACCTGTCGAGAAGAAACTATCTGCATGTCAACAGTCCGTGTGCCAAAGGAGGAATGGAAACTGTGAAAAGGAATGTTGGCATTCTGACAGGAAGAAAATGACGACACCGAAACTCGCATGCACATTGTTCCGTACGTCTCATTTTTTTTATTATGTGGCTAAAAAAATGACATGCAACTCCTAAGTTCTTAGTCATAGATTTACCAAGAGCAGAAGGCATTCAACAAGAGAGTCAGCACACCGGCCAAACAGTCCAAGAGACCACCTGTCAACTAGGACTCAAGTTAAATCCCTGACAAAGTGTATAAACTCATGCCACATGAGGTAAATGGGTGGAAATGAGCTGACCAGGGTGCTTTAAGAGGGACTTCTATATATATATATTCACATTCTGTATATTTTCAGCTTGTCACTGTTTCCAGCATAAAACCCATGACCGGAAAGTTTTACTGTGAAAAGCTACTACAATGTTCCATTTTACTTGTTGTCTCTTCAGCCCACTGCTATGAAACTACTGGCTGCAAAAGTGTTTACTCAATTTTCTTAAATTAAACATGATGCAAGAACACCACCATCTTCTAACCATAATCAACACTAATCTGCTAATCTATATTGAGCAAGTCTAGAGTTTAAAAGAGAAGTGAATTCACTATGCTTCATTATTTCAATTTTTGTACTTTTTCCAGCCAGCTGCAAAGGTCTGACACATTGGGAAGCACTTCATTAAGCTACATACGTGCATTACCATGACATAAGAAGTACAGAATGTAAGGTTTCAAGTATGTAAACATGAATAAACTGCACTTCAATAAACTGCAATGTCAAAGACAAGAATAAAACTTTGCCACCTGGGTATTTTATGTGCTCATGATTCTCCTCACAAAAATTAATAGTATGCTGAGCTCCAAAGTCAGTCAACCTGAAACTGTCTTTGACCGCAGTAAACAAGAGCATATGTGACACAGTAAAGGACACATTTCACATTGTAGCAGGGCAACATTACAGTCACAGAAACATCTGTCACTGGACCAATTAACCTAAGGTTTTAGACTGCTGTTAGAAAGACTTCCCCTAAACACACCATTATGATCCCCTTTCAAAAAAAGCAATTAAAACATACATGTTGTTGAGATCTTTTACTAAAAGCAATGTTACTATATGACTTTAGGTACAATATGACTTTCGAGGATCTCTCTCTCTCCACTAGTAGCTAAAACAGCCACTGGCCTAAAGCCAGAACGTTACAGAACCGAAACAATACCCCTGATTACATAACACCAATTACTGAGAGAGCCTTACCCACTTCACTTACCCACACAGTGTTCCCTCCATAATCTACTAGTTCAGCTAAACAGAACTGCCACATTTAAACTACGGCACAATCAAGATCACAGCCTTCCCTGCGACATGCTGCCTTCTTGTGTTTAGATGCTATCAGACCACATACTGGCAATGAGATGACACACAGAATGGACAGATTAGCAGTGAAACCACTGGTGTCAAAAATATAGCACTTAATTGTTGTTCTACATAAGAGGAAAAACTATTACAAACATGTCTGAAGCACTCTGGAACACATATATGGCATAACGCAACAAGAAAACTGCCTTTTCTGCACTCTGGAACACATATATACTCTGGAACACATAACGCAACAAGAAAACTGCCTTTTCTCATGGAGTGGCATAATGCTAAAAGAAATCACAAACAGACAAATATCATGGTAGAGATAGCTGCATGCAGACATCTAATTCTAAAACTTAGTGATGGCTCTCCACTACAGCAATGTTTGCTCTGTGTCATTTCCTTTTGCAGGAAGGAAAACACAGGATGAGCCTGCATATGAGAAAACACAGACACAACCAACAAAGGTCTTGACAAATACATTTCCCCAAACAGAACAGCATGACAAGCACTCAACTGTTGTTATCTAAAGAGAGTGATATCACAATTGTGAGAAGGAAAAGAATTAATCAAACTCTATGTCTGGTTGGAAGATGGACCAACATCTATTTTAGCTAGTGCTGACAGAGGAGTTCAGCTTCAATATACCAGCTACAGAGTCCAGCACAGCAAAAACTAGGTGAATTTTGTAGAATGACTGACTGACCAACCACATTTTTATCCCCTCTTTGCAGGGCTCTGTATTTACATCTACTGAACTGTTATTTCTAAGCTGCAATAGGTTCCCATGTGACTCCATGTTTACATCAACAAAACCGTAGCATACATACCACAGATTCTTTAAACCAAACATATGTCCATGTGATGTCTCTTGAAAAGCCACAGTGGCACAGTGAAGGTGAGTTTCTTTATGCTGCGTAGGACACAACAGTTGACTGGCTATCAGTAAAAGATATACCAACTCCATTTCAATTACTGATGTTACACAAATTGTGTTTTTAAAAATAAATTATTTATGTTGCACAAAGCACCTAAATTGCTCATGATATACTGAATATTAGATTGTTATTAAATCAGTAGCCTTAGATTAAACCAATCGCTGACAGCTGATATATTTGTCCTAGTGCCCAGATAGGGCTGGGGGATATTTCATCAGCTTGTTGTGTTTATATTAATCACTGAACCTTTAAGCACTGAGCAGAGTGAATTTACTGGTTTCTCACAAGACCAACTAGTGGCTGAAAAGAAATTAGGCAGAGCAGCTTTAAGTACTGTGCACCAAGTAAGCCAGAGCTGAAGCATAAATACACCATTGAGGCTGACTGAGGTTTATAAAAGGAAACCCACACCTACGGATTTGTGGAAACTGTTGGGAGAGGAGATAGAAGAGTTGTGGAAAGAGCATGCATCACCACACCATGGTCCAAAAATTGGCTGCAAATCATTCACATGAATATGAGAGGAGGGGTGGCTTGCCTGCCCTAAGCTCCACATGCATCTTTTCACTGTTGACATATGCTAATAGTGTATAGTGAAATGCTATTCACAGGTTCCATCACAAGGCCATCTCAGCCAATGCACTCACATTTCTGTTTAAGATGTGTGCCATGCATGTGCTTAGCTATCACATTCGCAATGATTTTTTTCCCCCTCAGACATCAACTATCTCTGCTTTAGTTAAGATCATCGACAGTTAGTCCTCGATGCATAGGTACTAGGGGTGTAACAAATAACCGATATGAATCGGAAAATCGATTTGAATTAAAACGATACGAGTGCATCGGTAGACGGAGCCCGAATCGGGCCAAATGTGCGCTGAATTGGTCGATGGCCTGATTACAATGTTATAAATCGGTTTCATGTTGCTGCAAACAAATAAACACAGCGGCATCGGACATGTCAGTGCATGCGGTTAGTTTTTTAGTTTTGCAGCCTTGTTCTGACGTACCCTGGGCGCCGGCCATGGTAATCTCGCGACAGCATGGCGGACGCAGTTTTTGAGCCAGGTGGGCGCATTGAGAGTAACTGCGGCCGCCTGCATGGACGACGACACGGTCTACAATGCACCGCCAAGCTTAAAGTCAAAGGTATGGAGAAGAGGTAGGAAGGTTTGTAATAGTATGTACATGTATGAGTGTACCACGCATATAGGAATGGATATTGTCTCAAAGAAAAACTAAAAATATATTACTTTGATAGTTGTTTTCTGTTAGGGTGATTTTCATTATTAGATAGAAATTAATATAATTAGTTAGGGTTTTTATTATATAGCATACATAAGTCTATATACTTTAATCTCACAGTTGTGTTTATGTTTATGTAGTTACATATCTACACATCACCCTATGTGTTCACTGAATCACTGGTCAGTATTTACTGTGTTAGCTAACTGGAGCACTGTTTAACATCAAGGGGGACTGGTTCACTAAAACACTGACTCTCATTAGATTTACAGCTTTGGCAAAGAGGGTCCACAGTTAATTTATTGTCACCACCTGGCTGAAGAGGCCAGGGAATTTGGGGTCACTCGCATCCTAGGATAGTGAAATAGAGATGAGATCTGAGGCCAGGAAGAGGAGAAAACTTCAAAGGTAGAACCATTACACACACACAAGCAGAGCAGTTTTATTGGAACAGGAAAGCAATGTCTAACATGTAGCAGTTAAATGGAAACAAAGGAAGACGTAAGTGTCTATGCAGAAATTAAGAAAGAGTAGGTATTTCTCCCCTTTTAGGGCGCTGTCCACGACCATTGGAGTAGAGAGGATGATTGGAGGAAGGACGGACTGAAGGATCAATATCGGGAGAGTTAAGTTTAAACCACGACTTCTCCCCAACAGTTTTTGACCAATCAGATAGTAACATCTTTTCATACAAATATTGTATACCAATAAGCTGAGGCCAGTCTTTTCTGTTTTTCCTAAACAGTGAAGATCCATGTGCACATGCTTATTTTGATACGTTAATGCATAATAAATTTCACACTGTGAAATATCTTTATATTAGTCTTTTCTTTTCAATATAGAACACGCCTCACATTACACATAGTGAAATGGCAGTTTAAAAAAGTGAAATGCACTAGTGCAAGATTTCTTAATGTAGATGTATGTGAATTTACAAAAGAGCACTTTAAAAGACTGCACTTTTTCTGTACAAGTGCTTACAGTTTGCCATTTCAACCTCAGTAACTTATTGTTCCTTGATCTGAGGCTATACAGATTTTTCCAAAAGTTGTATTTCTTTCACCTTGTTTAGTTGTTTCTTTGGCTTTAATTTGTGCCAATAACGAGCTTGAATATTTTCTGTTATCAGAGGGGCTTTGTAAAGTTCTCAAAGTGTACTGTTACACTAATAAACATGGCATGTTGCTGAATTCACATGTCAAAAGTACTTGTTCTCTGTAGTCTATAGCAAGCAATTTCACATTTATAGAACTGACTTATGTTGCTTCATGATGTAAAATGATTGTCTACTTTAAACAAACTATCTGATTGCATCATACCCCATTGAATCGAACCGTATCATAGTGTAATCGTATCGAACCGAATCGTTCCATTTTAAAAAGTATCGTTTCCGAATCGTATCGTAGCCCCATGTATCGAAATCGTCTCGTATCGTCATTGGAGAGATGCACACCCCTAATATATATGGTACCATATAAAAAATGTAACTTAACTATTTCGTCCCATGGTTCTAGACACAGCTACATTTCAAACAATGTAAACACGCACCAAAAAGGCAACATGTGATCCTACAATCTGACAACCCTGTTTGTTTGTTTGTTTGTTTTTTTACACTTGGTAGTTTAGATCGTTGTTTTCAAGCTTGATGCTATAAATCCAGGCCCGGTCAACTGCCTTGTATTTAACATGTTTAATCACATGATGAGATGGGGAAGAGAAAGCGGACACAGTGATACAGACAACAATGAGAGGAATCCAGACTTTAAGACTTCGTGCTGTGACGTTAACAGTACGACTAGTCCAGACAGGCAAAAACGCCGTAGCAAAAAAGCCAATGTCTGATCACTTTTAATAACATTTGACAGAACACTGAAAAAGTTGTCTGCTAAATGTCCGGTTGGACTAAGCTAGCTACAACTAAAATTATAGTCTTGACTGGGTAGGTTGTTTGCTGTCGGTTAGAAGGCAACACATCAGCAGCTAAAGCAGCAAACAGCTGGCCTGCATACGTAACCACTGTGAGGCTGTCATTTTCCTCTAGTCCGCTAAAGGCTACCCACGTTAGCTAACGGAGCTAGCATTAGCCCTGTATGCTACTAAGCATCGCGGGCAACGGAAAGGTGTCTGTCAGTGGGGAAAAAAAACCCCAAACTTCGTATTCTTTCACCTACCCATGTCAAGAGGCTTTCGCAGAGTTCCATTCGATCCAAAGACTCCGGTGTACTCATCGTTACCTAACGCAGATTGACTTTATACGGCGAACAGGGCCTGAAGTTAACAATCGGCTTCTCTCGTTCTGTGGATGTCTCACAATCCGTCGCCCAGTAATAGGGTTCGCTGCTTCAACACTCCGGCGTCTTCCCGAGGAAGACTGACTGGGCGGAGTCTGCAGCTCATTGCAATGAATCCTCTATTACAGAAAAAGCTCAATCAAGACAAAAAAATATTGGACATGTGCAAAGGGTATGGAGTATATTTTAAAAGCTAGGTAAGACAAAAAACGCTGCACGCTTAAATGGTATATAACGGGCCTTTT